TTTATAAAGAAGACTAGAAAACAACGGTGTACAATTTCACCTGAAGTAAACGCTGATGAATTAAAAGAATCCGAGAAATTATGGATCCGTAGTATTCAGTCGACAGACTTTGCCGAGGAGATCGAATGTATTCACAATGGTTGTATGAACTCACGAGTTAACCAGCTTGGTTTATTTGTCGATGACGATAAGATTATCCGTTGTGACGGTCGAATTGGCCACTCCACGATGCCTGACGATGCAAAGCAACCAATCCTTTTGCCCCAAAAGCAAGAATTTACCAGGTTAATCATTCGCGAAGCTCACGAGTTAGTACATCACGATGGAATTAGAGAAACTTTAAATTGCGTTCGAAGAAAATATTGGGTTCTACGTGGTCGAGAGAGTGTTAAAGGAATGGTAAGAAGATGCGTGACGTGTAAAAGGTTTGAGGCTAAACCCTTTGCTGCAGCTAAAGAACCAGCTTTACCGTCAAGTCGAGTCAGCGATGAGCCACCATTTAGCAATACTGGTATTGACTTTGCTGGTCCCCTATACGCTGTGACGAATCGAGAATCGAAGAAAGTCTATATCTGTTTATTTACCTGCGCCTCTACTAGAGCCGTCCACCTGGAACTTGTCCCATGTTTATCCGTATCTTCATTTCTTCAAGCCTTTCGACGCTTTGTTTCCCGAAGAGGTTTGCCATCACGATTAATAACTGACAATGCTAAGACTTTCAAGAGTGCATCCAAAGAAGTAAAGAACATCTTGCGATCTTCCGAAATTCAACGAGAAATGGCATCTAGAGGGGTGCAATGGGAATTCATCATAGAAAAGGCACCCTGGCAAGGAGGATTTTACGAACGAATGATACAGAGTACGAAGAGGTGTTTTAAAAAGATTCTTGGACGATCTTCTATGGATTTCGAGTCATTACGAACACTCTTAGTGGAAATCGAAACGACGATAAATAATACACCACTTACGTATGTTTATGACGATGAGGAAGGAGTGTCGTACCCCCTTACACCTTCTCAACTAGTCTACGGTAGACAAATTTCGTTAATGCCAAGTGATCGACAGTTCGACATTATCAGTACTAACCGATCATTGACCAGGAAAGCGAAGAATCAAAGGCGTTTACTGGACCAATTTACTAATCGCTGGAGAACGGAGTATCTATTAAGCCTTCGAGAGACATCGCGCGTTCTTCATGGAACAGAAAAGGAAACAATAGCCGTTGGTGACGTAGTTGTGTTGAAGAATGACTCAACTCCACGAATGTTTTGGAAGCTTGCACGAGTCAAGGAGCTCATAAAAAGTAAGGACGGTGTAATTCGGGCAGCAAAGATTTGCGTGGTAAATTCGGGAAAAGGGCGTGTGATTGAATTACGACGGCCTATACAACATTTAATTCCTCTGGAGCTGAAATTGAGTCCAGATACAGAAAACGATGTGTCTCCAGCTGTTGAAAGTGCACCGAAAGAAGAATCGACCAGACAGCGACCGAGACGAAGTGCGGCGGTAGTTGGAGAACTTTTACGAAAGGGGATGAGATAAGTTCATTATAATCGTATAGTTAAAGTATATTTGATCACTCTGGGGTGATCAACGCCGGGAGTGTGATAAACTGTGAGACATGAACAGAGTTTCAATAACATTTGTTGCGTTTACTTTGAGCCTGATTGCAGGCTGTTGAACCTGTTCGCAGGCTAAACATTATCTATATTATATTCGATTATTCGAGGATATTTCGTTACGAACTCCACGTTAGTTATGTTTAAGTCTTTTACCTTATTATTTGATAGTAAAGTTTATATAATTTTAATGTTATCCGTGTGTTAATTGAACGAACGTTAAGTATTGAATTGAGGAAATGCGATAAATATTATGCGACGTGCATAACATATACTGTTTCCCTGTGCTTAAAGGACTGTCCCCCTGATAATAACACACACCCGGATGAGAATATGAACCTCTGCTGATATACAACAATATATGAAATACAACATTCTTGATATTTTCCAGACACACTTCCTGGGGATAATTCGAGATTTAATCAACTATACTGACCTTTACTTCGGCACCAGATGCTCCAGGCATCAATTCAGCAATCTTCCGAAGATTGATTCCTCTCGTTAAATTCATCTTACGAGAATGGATTTTCAAGATATCCAGTCGAGCCTAGGAAAATGCATTGTATGTTAGTTGTTTGGCAGCAACTTGTGAACACATGACACGACTGTTCACAGGATGCTACAGCAATGATGGAAGAATAATACTCCTATATCAAACAACAGTGTTATACTGTACGGTGTGAACATGACATTATAACAGCAGAACATGTACGTCACGTGGTCACTGAATCTAACAACGAACTGGCGGGGACACCAGTGACCACAACAGTATAAACCAATTACTGTGGGCCCTGGTCAACAAATATAACAAACTATAACATCGAAATTTATGAACAGTAAGGGCCATGTTACACGAGGCAACATCCGCTGCAAACCGCAGATAAAAGTCTTAAGGATAGAAAGTGAAAGAAATAGAATAAATAAAGTCGTGTCGTTTAGATAACACGAGTCGACGACAGAAACCGCGGTTAAAGTCACAGCAAAAATTGTCTCGTATAACATCGCCTTCAACCACTGTACAGCAAGCTATTTCATTCTCATTGTTTATATTCCAAGGACGGTTACATCTTAAACATATTGTCTTCCACGTTCTCGAATCATCTGTATTATAACGATTATTGAGGGCATTGATGTAGTATACCCGTAATAACGATTTAAATTGGCTTAAATTGATATTGTCCATTCTTAAATTCTGTGGTAGTGCATTGGGAACATATCCACAGTAGTTGGTCGAACTTGTCGGAAATTAACGTCTTCAATGTTTCCCTCCCTTCGTAATAGCTAATTTTCCTGTCAAGGACAAAAGAATAAAGCACATACTGTACTCCATATTCATTACCTCTTCATTTGGTGCGGGGAATTCAATTTTTCGGTCAATACGTCCAGGTCGAAGTAAAGCTGCGTCTAAGATGTCTATTCGATTGGTGGCCATTATAACCTACGAGAATGAATACACATTGTTTATTAAATAAAGATTACGTCACGTGATTACTTCCTAACATCAGAATATGTTTTCCAAATCCTTACTGTGGAAATTGTATGGATCGTACCTGCGTGGATTTCAGTACTTGTGTTTTCAATGTAAACTTATTAATCATGGTATACTTGGCAAGGTTGACTGAAATACAGTTAAAATACTATGCTATATTTAGACAATAGTGGATTCTTAACAATTCTACCTTAATATTCTTAGTAGCCTCAAATCCATCAAGTTGGTTAAGCAATTCTAACATCGTTCGTTGTACTTCACTGTCACCTGCATATGAAAGTAGACATATTAAGACAATATCAATACAATTCATGGTTGGTCAGAACGCTATACCAGCACATGAGTGTTTCCTCGGGTGTTTCATTGACTATGATTATTCAGCTGACTCCCCATCGGGGCTTTTCAGTGACCGACTATATTTTACTTACTTTAGCCTAGACTATTTATCTTTACAACAATAGGCAATTCCAGCTTTTAGTTTATGCGTGCAGGGGATGATGGGAAGTAAGGTATCACATTGCCGATTATGCTGAAGATTTCAATAAAAACTGCCGAAACAACCGAAACATTTCAATATTTACAAGTATAAGCTATCACTCCGTGTTTACACGGCCACCATTTTTATTTTTTCAGCATAATCAGCAATATGATACCTTACTTCCCATCATCCCCTGTACGCATAAACTAAAAGCTGGACTTGCCTATTGTAATATTACTTTCCTAACTCTATTTATCCTAACCCGCCCTGTGAGCGCCCGGAGAAAACCCACGATTTTTCGGCAAAGCGTTGACTGACTCTTTTCACATGAGTCCGTAGCGAGAATCAAACCCACGTTCTCAAAAGTGAAAGGTGCTTGCTCTGACAACTGCGCCACCGAAGCGAAATCCTCCAAATAAATGAGTAAACCAAGTAGAATAGTTTTGTGAAATAAAGTTTGAGGCTCACCGATGTCGTTGACGAGTTAAATTAATTTAAAGCGAAAATATGCACCATTCTACTAGTAAAACCCCATTGACCATTCTACTAGTAAAACCCCATTGACCATTCTACTAGTAAAACCCCATTGACCATTCTACTAGTAAAACCCCATTGACCATTCTACTAGTAAAACCCCATTGTTGCCATAGCCCAATTGCGAAAAAGTTTTTGTGAAAAATTTCACTCTTTAGATGTTGTTTTACATACTGTAAATACTTGTCCAAAAATACGGATCTAAATCCCAAATTTAAATTTAAAATTTTCCAATTTTAAAAAACTGTATCGAGCCACCTTAATAATATACAGTGATATTGGTGTCTACATTAAGACCGACCTGATCCACCAGATTCAATTCTTGATGATCCAATTGAATCAATTTCATCCATGAAGATTATTGACGGAGCATGTTCCCTGTATAAAATATTTGTAATCTCAGATTTACAGTATCTTTCAACACTATAATACCTATATACGTGGAAATATCAAGATCTTGGGCATCTTGCTCGATCCAACTAATTAGCCATTCCGAAGTTGATGAGTGGACTGGGGACGAGTGTTAAAAAGTGCCCAAATTAAGAAATGAACCAAATCTAAAAATACCACCTCAAAATTAGTAAGTATACAAAGTTTGAAGACGTTTACATAATTACCCTTCTAATAATAAGCTTTCGAAAATCGCAATAGTTACTATGAAATGTACTGTAATTTTTGTTTTTGGGGACGTGCATCACTAAACAGCCTTTTGATCAGTAATTTCACAATTTTCGAAAGCTTACTATTCGAAGGGTATTCATGTAAACGTCTTCAAACTTTGTATACTCTTAATTTGGGCACTTTTTAACACTCGTCCCCAGTCCACTCATCAACTTCGGAATGGCTAATTCTTGATGCGTCGACACCATTCTCGTACCCAGAGCCCTTCTTACGCGCGGTGCGACGAGGGGCTCTGGCCAAATCCATAACCGGATACCATAAAAACATGGTAAGAAAACAATATCCGGTGTCGGAATATGGATTTGGCCAGAGCCCCTCGTCGCACCGCGCGTAAGAAGGGCTCTGGGTACGAGAATGCGTCGACACATCATCAATTAGATGGATTGAGCAAGATGAGCAGAATCTTGATATTTACCCATACCTTATAGTGGCATGACCCTACGTATATATACAAACACTTGTGGTTCATGCTCGTCAACTGGCAGGGCCGCAGGTTCGAGTCCTGCCTGAGGGCCTATTGTCGCATTTTTCGCAACTGCTGCTGGTCAGGTCTGAAAATTGTATATAAATCTTTCGCTCGAATTTTCGAAGAACATTTTCGTCTTGATACAGTCCAAAGTACAACATATTTTACCTGGCCATAACGAACAATTCTCGTACCATCCTAGCGCCTTCTCCAATAAATTTCTGAACAAGTTCAGATCCTGACACTCGTATGAAAGTACATGCCGTATGATGGGCAACTGCTCGAGCTAGAAGTGTCTTGCCTGTCCCCGGTGGTCCATACAATAACACACCCTGTGAAAAACAAAATAATGTACATGTACAAAACTATAAAGCTTCATGATTCAATTGTACGTATGACTCAACAATAATAGAAACTTCCGTTATGGACACATTGCTAATAACATGGACAGTTTCCAATGTGAAGACAAATGTCTCATATATTTGTTTAAAACACGGATTCTCTGTAATAAGATACCAAATCTACTTAATACAGATAAGGAGCTCATATATTTTACACTTGATGTCATTGAAATTTGCCTTGGGTCAGCCCAAATGCGTGTTTACACTATAGGGTTGAGCTGAGACTTAGAGTACCTGGGACTAGCTATAATTTCCTGAAATTACACTTTTAGGCCAATCCAAGCGTGTTTAGGACGCGGTCACACTACAACGATACGATTTCAGCGCATGTTAACAAGTTATCATATCGTTGTGTAGTGCGACCTGGGCTTTATACTAGCGTATCCACTAGAGGTCAAACGAGAATTAGAGTTAGCAGTTTTGTTACAGGGGACATTGGAGAAAATGTCTGTAACAAAATATGTTTAAATAAAAAACCCAGTTAACCAAGGTCGCCTAACTACCAACTCATGCACTCTCATCCTAGTTTGATCCGGGGTTAACTGCTTTAGATTGGTCCAATAGGTCTGGTCTCTAGGGTAAACGAGGCTTAATAACAACGGTTTGCGATGGGCACTGTTATTTTAGAATTCGACGACGTTTCCAAACCCTTTCACAAAATTGCAGAGCGTTTCTTAGTCATTCTGAATTTTTATATTTTACCTCAATATCGTTTAAATTATTTACATGTTTATTTGTATATGTAGACATATTCGAAGCATTGTTATCTAAACTATAATCCAGCTATAACCCCACCTCAAACGCTAACCCTACCCCAAATACCAACCCACCTTAATCCTATCCTACCCAAGCCAACCCTAGTCCCACCTTAACCTCAACCCTGTGTTTTTGCTTACACTAGCAATAGTCGTCTATAATCAGTCTGGGAACTGGTATTTACATAGAGAACCATTAACTTTCAATTGTTCCCAAGCATAAACGCATTCAAATAAATAAACAATGAAGTGTTGACATCCACATCAATTAAATGTCCACAGGCGTGACTTGGTTTCTTCGAAAACAGGACAATAAAGACCTTATACTTCTTCGTAAGCTTTGTAATCTTGATCTCTGTAGTTGTGCACCATCAAGTGTTTGCTGTTTGACCACATTTCCAGACATTTCGCTGGTTGAAACTTCTGTTGTCGTAGCCTTGATGCTTGTGCTACTTTCAAGCCGCGTAAAATCATTTGCGTAAAATCATTGTTTGAAGAATAATGTTTACGTTCAGCATTATATAAAGCCGGTAAACTGTACTCTGACTCAAGCCAGGTTTCAATGTTTAATCCTATTTGAAGACTTTCACGTTGGAGTTTTTCATCTTCTGCATCTTTTTCTACTTGCTCAAAAATCTTTTCTTTTTGAACTCGATGCTGTTCTCGCAACATTGAACGTTTTGGAGTCAAAATATCATGATTTTCTAAGATGAGCTCATCACAATATTCTCCATCCATTTCAGTCCCACTTTCTTCACAGATTTCCCGTTCACGTGCAAGCGCTATCTTTCGTCTCTCTTCCTCTAGGGCTTTCTGAACAACGACTGGGGTGCGCACAAAGAACCCTCCCTCCGGCTTACGATGAATACCAGATGGATCTTCAATGATCTTTTCCATACATCTTAAACGTACATCCAAGAACTTCGTGCGCATGTCCCAATGATGCCGACTGTTGAACATGTTTCCCTTTCTTGCAAGGAAACCAACAAACTCGATTGTTTTTTTCCACTCACGCATATCATCAAATCCCTCGCAAAGTACAGTCATACCGGGAAACACATTTTCTGGCGAATGTATTTTGAACGTCGGTGATAAAGGACGAACTACTCCTGGACGCAGGACTGTTCCAAGATGATCACCAAATAACCATTTGTTATCTAACATTTCTTGATTATAGAAGTCTTTTTCAAAACATTTCACCAACTTCAATGGAAGATTCCCGCCTTCATTGGAGAATACGATTTCTTTTTCTGTACTCATTCTTGTTTTTTAAATCAACCAACGACAACAAATTTGAATAAAATATATCTCTGCAGTAATTACACCTCTACGCGCTTTGAAAACAAATTCAATTATGACTGATTTGTGCGTGCGACTCTTTGTTACGTCACTTATTATTAGCATGACAAAATTACTGGTTGCTGATTGGTTGAGAGGAGTACAATTATTTCATTAATTGTACTGCAGTACAATCATAGATTATTGATCATACCAGATGTCTCACTCAGCCAAAATTGTGTCCGCGATTTTTTATGAGCACGAATTGGCCGCCATTTTGGCAGTAAGTGTAATCCACGCCATGAAACGTGAGCAATCACGCCTTTTGGCAGTAAGTGTCGCACGCGTCATCTGGCGTGATAGCCTTGCGAAAATCGCGGACACGAAAATCATAGAGATAGATACACAGTGAGACATCTGGTATGATCTATAATCTATGGTACAATTAATGATTTTCCAACAACAAACAAAATTTTGGCAAAATTTCCAAACATCACTCGTACTATTAATCCCTAATTGTACTCGCGATCGCATGATTACCTATGCTAATTGAACGTAACGTCATCAGATTCAAGTCACGACGTGAAATTAGAAGAGACGTCTTAATTGATCAACAACGAGCACAAATTTTTTGCAACCCCAATAGCACAGACCAAGTATATATACATGCCTGAAGTGTTGGGTACAATTTACCATATCCAAGAAATACCGCAAGGATCCAGAAAGGTTAACAAAGTTTTTTAGATACATCCTTTCCCGCTACTTGCTTACCAATGTGCAAAATGACAAAATAGAAATTTGCGGACCAGATAAGAGCCACGCTTATGCTTAATATGTAGAAACGTTTCTTTTCCGTTTCTTAAATACATACAAATACTCTTACCCACTCCGCAGGCCGTAATGAATTTCCTAATTTCGTAAGGCAGATTATGACCGTTTGTAGGTTGGAAATTGAAATTTGTGATTTCGAGGGGAGGTAGGAGGTAGTAAGTGCTACCACAAGCTCTTTGTAGTTTTACAAGGCGATAATATAAGTTTTGGTTTGTGGAAACACCACGTATATCAGGGCTTACGGAAGCTTTGCAAAAATAAATAAACATGGTGTTTCCACAAACCGAAACTTATGAGTCGAAATGTTTTATCTTTTTCAGAATTTCAGTTACAGTAGTTCATAACATATACTGTAACAGACACTTCATCAAATATTGGGTTGCCATCGCTCTACAGTATAGTGTTGAATATTTAAATAAACTACCAATGACATGCGGAGAAAAGGAAAGCTAAGCCTTATAAAAAGAAAATCAGCAACAGTAATGGACCTATTCCCTAATGAACAAAATTTTGATCTAGACACGTCTAGACAAAAATTTTATCACAGTTTGAAAGATCATCACAAAATTAGTAATATTCCGAAGTTTCGTTGCGAAATGTTGTAAAATGCGGATAATATAGCCCTGCGAAGTTTGCCGTTTTTCAGTCATTTTACGCACAGGAAATTGATACCGCTTTCTGAAAAAAGGTATCAATTTCCCGCGCGTAATACAAAATGACTGAAAAACTGCAAACTTCGCAGGGCTATATTATCCGCATTTTACAACATTTCGCAACGAAACTTCGGAATATTACTAATTTTGTGATTTTCTTTCAAACTGTGATGAAATTTTTGTATATAGACTTGTCTAGATCAAAATTTTGTTCATTAGGGAATAGGTCCATTGTCAAAGGCAAAATTGTCCAATTGTAGGTTTGTTTTTAGTTGGTGAACACTAAAACTATCATTGAAGACATGCCTAAAAGTGAGGTCACTGTCTGGTCACTTCACAATATGGACACATTATTCTGCCCCTTTCTGTATTTAAGAGGTTCGACATAATGCAGTTTATACCTTAGGTTGGTCAATTCCAAGTGCTTCAAATAATTCAGGATGTTTAACAGGGAGTTCAATAACCTAGAAGAAAATGTACAAACATCAAGTACAAACTACAACATACGAAATGGACAGTTAAGAAAATCATCCTACATACTTCTTTTATTTCTTTAATCTGTTTATCCAGACCACCAACCATTTCATATGTGGAGTCAGGTACTTTCTCAACCATCATCAAACTCACCAAAGGATCAACCTTATAAAGAATGGCAGTAAGTAAGTACAGTAACCATCCTACTTGCAGCTGAGAGCTAAGCTGGATTGCGAAGGATGCAGTTCAACATGATCAAGTTGAAGGCTTTCTAAGGACGCCCCTCGTACTCGTAGCCACCTTATGACTCAAGTCTGATAAACAGAGCACTGCACAGCTATTATGGAAAGGTCAGTTAGGGGCTAATCCCAACCCACCCTGTCAACATTCACTATGGCAGGAAACGGAAAAAAAAAAGAAAACCCAGAAGAAAAAGGAAAACCCCGAAGTGAAAGGCACTTGCTATGATTGTGCTACCAAAGCCCCTTTTTAAATACTTAGCTGATTCTACACTACATTGTGCTGACCTTGTGTTGAGCTGGTAACAATTCAGTGCACTGTACCTTGTTTGGCAGAATTTTATGTAACGTATAACTGTCATTTCTCAAAGCCACACGAGAGTTTGCTGTAACCTGAAAGAATTAGAAGAGCACATGACTATGCATATATCAGTTACAATATGAAACAAAATAAAAGAGGTTTGCCACCCTGACTGAGAAACACAAAATATGTTTACTTTTACATTTTGTTTATGAATACAACAACTAAAATCCGATCTGCTTATGGTATATTAATGATATGCAAATAGTGGGCATGTAAGAGATGAATATACGATTAGTCACCAAGGAGCTGTAAATACAGTTGCTTCAAACCACCAACCCTACGTTTCTCCCTTTGCCTGCATCAACTTGCTTTTTGTACCTTGTGTTACCAGGGCGCAAAATAACGGCTGGAGGGTTGTCAGTCAAGGTGACCGGCCAACTCAATTTTAGCTCGGGAATGCTGAATTTCTGGCGGGTCAAATTATTCAGCTTAAAACAAAGCCTAGTAAAGTATACCCCTAAAAATGTGACTATTTTCACACTAAAGTGCCTTACTGTAATCAGTAGTAATTAAAAACTCCTTCACATAAAACAGCTTGCACTGCGCTAAAAGCACAGCCTTAACTCTTAAGCCAAAAGCATGGCCATGGACTTTGTGACGTACTGTGTGGGAAAGCTGGCACTGAAGTTCGTTTATCGCAAAATATTTCGACAACATGTTATGGTTCTTAATTGTAATACTTGATCAACAATTTTATTTTGATTATTAATTCAAATGAAGATTAGTTTGTTCTTTTACCGAAAGTGACCGGTCAAAATGACCGGCAAGGTAAGAATTTGACCAGACAACTCCGCATTCTGGCCGGATATTGTCTGTTGACCGGCCGTTATTTCGCACCCTGTGTGTTACATGCATAGCGCACCTCAATATACCGGGCTCAATAATGGTAATTTGCTTAGTTTTTTAATACATAATTCTCTGTCTGATGGATGACTGGTTACTATTGGGGATGTAAGATGCACCATTGGTTGGCTAGGGATTACAAGTTTACAACAATCCCTATGGGCCAATGACGTTTGATTATTCATGCTGATGCATCTTAAACATCTTACTATAGTTTCATCACTTTCATGCCTACCAAGCGACATCGGCCAATCCGAGCATGTAAATAATAAACATGCAGTACGTCTCAAGTATTCATTGTCAAGTAGATTAGCACATGCAACAAATTGAAAGTGTCTACCAACACAAAAGTAAAATATTCTGACTTACAGAACACAACTGGAAGTAAAACAAAATTTACACTCAATCCATTTTGGTAACTGTATAATATTATACATACATCATTCATATCAATTGCTTTATCTAAATCAACCACAAACTTTCCTTCAGGATGAACCTGGAAAATAAGAAAAACATATTAAAGATAATTAACATACACTTTCAAGCTACACTGCATAGCAGGAATTTACAGTATTAGCGGGTGGTAGCAGCATGCATGATATTGAAATGTGCACCAATCCAAGCAACATATTATACCCAGGGGCGGATTCAGCGTCTCAACCTGACCGTAGCATTTTGGATGAAATCAACATGCAGGGCCGAAGGCCACGCCCTACCTAGGGGGGTTTGGGGGCATGCCCCCCAGAAAATTTTTGAAATTTGAAGCCCGCAAGTACCATTTCCTGCATTCTGAGCATCGAAATTAAATTTAAAATTTGTAGAAAAGTGGCTGTTTTTCACACCAAAATAAGAAAAAAACACACAAAAGTTACAAAATTTATTCATCAACATACCACTTCGAACAACAGATTATCCTGAAAAAGTAAGATAACAGTAGTTCGAAAGTTTTCAAATGTACATCATCTTGAAACAGCGGCCCAACGACAGTTAGGGACAATGTTTACTGGCTAAGCAGCAGCATATATATAGATCATCCCGAAACAGCAGGACAACTTATGGCAGTCAGGAAACTGAAATATTTTCTGTACTGTATATAGATTATCTCCAAGTTATAGGGAAAATGTTTATTTGTAGATCATCTTGAAACAGCAGCACAACGGCAATTAGGAAAAATGTTTATTTGTATATGTTTATTTGTACTAAAATTCGAGCAATACTGCAGGAATTCGCGCAGAGCTGGGTGCACAAATTTTAGTACTGCGGGAAATATAATCCACGCGAAAAGCTTTGCGGTGTAATATTCACTCGTTGTTAGTAAATAATATAATGTAAGGCAATACCATATACGAACCTATAATATATGGGATGCTAATAAAATTAGTTATTGTTATTGTATTAGGCAAACGAAAACCATACATTTTGAAGTTTGAACTTTATACGCTTTAAGCCTGGTTCACATATATGCCTGCGACGTACCGGCGACGATGCCGATGGTAGCTTTAAAACGTAAATTATGTGAACATTTGTTCGCCGATTGCCTCCAGTGCCACAGTTACATCGGCGGTAGGCCGGGAAAGTTGACTTGAGTTCAACTTTGCCGGTATTTCGGCGGCAAGTAGAGGCATAATGATACAGTCGCAGGTATGCCGCAGGCATATGTGAACCAGGCTTTACTGTTATCATGAATTTTGTTTTGACAAATATTGAAGTATTTGTTGTTATCGTTATATTAATCAAACCAAAAGGAACCAACACGGAAAATTACTTGCGCGAATTTAAAGCTGCGCGAACAAGTTTCGCGAAATTGGAATGCGCGAATTTAAAGCTGAACGAAAATGAGTATACGACGCGAATTTTAATACAAGTAAGGTATACAATACATGGATTTGAAACATCTAACCATATATTTATGATACGTTATCCCAGGAAGCAGGCTCAGCTGTTGTAATTCTAAACTCTGTTAGTATACATGTAAACTACAATATAATATATCGGAGTGTAACTATTTCTATAAATTTCATTTACACTACTCACTAGTCTTTATAGACTACAGGTCTACAACTAATAATTACATGAGCAAAGTCTAAGATATAAAATATATAGGAGATTAACTAACATATTTCTTAATATAAACACACATGGCATGCCGGCAATGGCTATCAAATAGTGTGAGTGGCCATTGATATTGTTCTGCATTTTTATAATGATACGTTTCATCAGCAAATATATGGTAATATATTCGAGACGCATGAACTGTGTAAAATTCGATATGTTATTTACATATTTAATATACTATTCATGAGACTGACCTGACACGGAGGTGATTCAAACAGCGCTGTCTTCACAGTTCACATCGCGGGAAATGCAAATCATGCCAATAATCGCACACCAAAAGCTGTCGATCAGAATTCTTTCGCGCACCTTTTCGTTAAATGAAACACGTTTACATTCGTTCATTATACACAGAAGATCGTGGAGTCATGTAGAAGCCGCCATATCTTTCTCCTTGGAACGAGCGGCGATTAAAATTTACCGACTATTCGATTACAACGAGGAGCCGACACGACAATAACAAGCCAGCATCGCTCTGAAGTCGATGCGACTATTGCAAACAGTAGCATTTTGCCTCATTCTGATTGGCTTACTTCGTCTGACCGTAGCAAACCAATCAGCACGCCGTATTTGCGAATTTTTGCAACGGTCAGTTTCAATCTGACCACTGCAAAAATTTCCAAATACAGCGCTATGATTGGTTTGCTACGGTTAGACGAAGCAAGCCAATCACAATGAAGCAAATGCTACGACTTCAGAACGATGTGATATAGTACTAGTGCAAAACCCGCAAATACAGGCAGTATTTCGGGCGGAAATTTGAGAAAAACCCGAATTTAATTATCCAAAATGAAATAAAAACTCGATAAAATTGTATCAATATGATTTAGTAAATTTTAAAAAAATTGCACCAAGTTTCAATGAAAAATTGAAAATAACGGCAATTAAAAATAGTATAACGTTTTAGTTTTTAATAACTTTAAAAAAGGTACAACCTGGAAAAATATATCTCAGGGAAAATCTGACCGTAGCATATGCTACGGTTGCAACGGTCTGAATCCGCCCCTGCTTGTATTTAGAAACCACGTCTAAAACACTAACTCGGATTTGAAATATTACTTCAAACACTCATAAATAATTCATAAGCTTATTGGCAGTTCATGTCAACCGTAATATGTCACGTGAAAAGGCTTTATACCTGATAAAACTCATCTTTATTAGTATTCTTTATATAAAAGTTCATCCTATTAGTATTGGTTATGTCAAGATTAGAACGGCATCTATTGTAGTCGTGTTTGAAGCCTGAGCACTATGCTGAACACAAGAGTCCGTAAACACAATTGAATTGAATTTTTAATTACCAGGCGCATAAAATCCTGTGCTTAACAACAATGGAACAAACTGTTAAATGCTCGTGCTGCGCACTCGCATTTTAAATATGATAAAACACTTCTACGCTTGTTTAAAATAATACTTTATATCGCGCATTTATCAGTGCGCCAATAGCTGTTTCACTGTATTCTCATATTTTAAAATGTTTATAATGTGGATTAATTTTGATATTAAATTCTACAGTTACAGCGCTGTCTCTTCTTCATCTGGCACGGAAAGTAATTCTACATCTTTTATTGGATGTGATGGCGGGAAGGTAAATTCATAACGCAAGAAGGTTCAGTTCAAAATAATGCAAAACTGCTATCATCCACAACCTCATCCAGTAAATGTTTGTTAGCAGCAGGTCAGTGCTAACATATCCTTCGTTATCGTTATTTTTCGCAATTTATTGTTACACAATCTGTTACTAGACTCATTAAAACAATTTACTCGGTTTTAAATGAACAATACTTTATGCTGGAACAATACGTCGTGGGTTACTGCTTATAGATCGATGTTATTAGTTTCGACTTTTTCTTGATATTTTTTGTTTAGTGTTGTGCATGTTTTGGTCCAAAAGGTGGAAGACAAAACTACTTTGGTCCCGTATGTACTGCTATTAATGGTGGAACTGTAACAAAGAAAGCTTTTGTTTGGTTTTGGGTACGAAATAGAATGCCCAAGCGCCTGTGGAAAAAATGCATGGAAGTCCAAATGAAAAATAATACAGGAAAGCGTGATATATATTTTGTTAATCCCCAAAGTGGCATTGTTCGTAAGGTAGGATACTGTAGAATAGGGGTCGTTCAAATTGAGAATTTCAGAATTTAGGATTTTGATTAGCGGTATTAGTGGATCCAATCTCAAACTGATGATTTTGTTATCCGAAACGTGAATTATTTACATTTATGTTTATTTGCAAAATTTTGTGTGGGAACAGTGCACGAGGTCTAGATATTGGCATACGGAACAGGTGAGAAATTGGTCTACGCATGCGTTACAATTTGCGCGGTTTAAGAGAAAGAGACTTGGGGCGAGTAAATATAGTAATTTGATTTTTGAGCGTTTTATTGGCGTTTTTAGGTCGTTTTTTCTGCTAAACAAAAAATTGTTAATCTGTTGCATTGTTGGGAGGCCAGGAAGGTATGAGAACGTTCAGAGGCTAAAAAAATGTATAAAATTGCAACTTTTGCGTAACCTTATATATCGGAACTGCCTTGGATTCCGATGGAAATGTCCAATAATTCCTACTATTCAGTATTTTTAGATGAATGAATTATCTCCCAATATAAAGTACATGTTTTAAGGAGTAATTTCGGCTAGATTTTAAAATATTTTAATTTTTTTATTTCATTGTGCTAACCTTTACCCCCATAAATCACCCCGTATTAAATTGGAGAGAGATGGAAACGTATTCGCATGATTTCAAAACTGCTCAAATTTTCTGAATCAATAGACTCTAATCTTTCAACGAATATGCTTTTACGAACAGGATTAGCAAACACATGCAATTTCTAGCGGAATATTCAGAGGCACCTAGCTATTCAGACTATTACAGACTATATTAGACGGTTGTGCCGTTTTTGGTATCAACCCGTATATTTTCATATGAACAATATTTTGGTTAGTGAATTAAGAAATCTTTGAAGAATAATTTAGAGATAGTCTTGTTTTGAGGCTCTCGACTAGATTTTTTACAATCTTAAGTTGAAAATTTAGCTTTTTCCTATTCAGCAAAATCACGATTTTGCACTAAGAGTTTTCAAGGATTTAATCATAAATAAACTTTCTAAAGATATTTCTGAGTAGAAAAATGCGTTAAAAACAAATTTTAAACCCATCCTGAGTTTATTTTTTTAATTTCATCTATCCAGGGAGCGAAAACCACTTGCATCTTCGAAAAAAGTTAAATTTCCTCAATATTTCGTCGTAGATATATTGTCCTCAATATATTGTCCGATTTCAGGTTAAAGTCTTTTATCCAGGACATTTTTCAACAGCCTTTGAATAAACGAACTTATATTCTTGCACATCCATTGTTTTCGTCCCAAACGAGAAGCCCAAAAACTTGTTTTTGCTCATTTTAATAATTTAAAACAAAATTTTCACTAGCACTCGCAATTTGCTGGCCAGCGACAGCAAATTTCCCACCTGTTGGCATACGGTGTTGGGCCTGTAACCAGGGACGTAGCGACCGCGGACGAGGGGGTGTAGATGAAGTGTAATTTCTTCATGGTACATTTCTAGGTAATTTAAGCTGATTTTCAGGTAAATTATAACAATTTGCCATTGGCATGCAAACGTGGAAGTTAAAAGGAAAGCAAGCAAAGCATGTCAAATTTTAGTTGCATTTCAGGGTTTCAAAATTTTCTAGATTAAGGTTACTTGGATTTAGTTCCGTATCCTGTTGTTTGAAACCCTGCTACTTGAATGTACACATGGAAAAGACACACTAAATTCTCGCACTAAACTGGTTTAATTAGGTAACGTAAAAATACTTTTAAAAATCAAGTAATTTGGATCCGTCCCCCCCCCCTACCCTGGATGGCAAAGTCTTCGCTACGTCCCTCCCTTCTACCTATGGCGTAAATATTATTGATTTGGTTTTGTGGAAAACATCAGGATTATCTTTAAATAAATGATAAATATGCAATTATACTTCGTAGCTCATAGATAAATAGATTTTAAATACCTTATTATAGGAAATTAACGATGCACTTTATTAACGCGACATAAATTAACGCGACATCAAATTAACGCGGATTGCTTCTAGGTCTTTTAAAACATGATTATACTAACGCGAATCTGATCTCCATGGTTGACAAATTAATTAAATTAACGCGAATCAGAAAATATAGACACACCAACAACAACAACAAAGGTTTATGTTAAGAGGAGCACTGATGTTTTTAGTTTACGTTACTATGCTGTATTTTGATATTAAAAGAGTTAGTGTTATGTAAAACAAATCTAGGTATTTTTAACTAACGATAAATGAAAATTACATACTTAAAATTAACGATCACATAAATTAACATTAATTAAATTAACGCGAATTTTTAAAATCCGCGTTAATAAAGTGCATCGTTAATTTCCTATAATAAGGTAAACGCTATAAATAGAAATTTTAATTTTAATATAACTATTCGTTGTGTAAATAGGTATTGAAAAACCCTCTCCGTGAATACTTCTTTGAATAATAATAATAATAGTAATCTATTTTGAAAAACAATGAATAATTATATAATTGAAGTTAAACCTTCAATTAACTTTCATTTATACACAATTGAAGTTTGTTTTTTATAGTCTAGGACCTGAATATGGGTTTGTATGCATTTCATTTAGGACAGATAATCTCAACTGTTTTAGGGTAAGTTGACCATGACGGTCAACATGGTAACGCTGCCCGAACCCCAATCCGAGGCGAAACGTCCGAAACTGACCACACCCAAAAACGACGCCTTCGCCATACTGCTATCTACCAAACCATAAAAGCTTTGGCTATTCTGAGGTGCTTATATGGTTCAGAGATGGTACTTTTGGGGGTGGTCATTGGTAAGTGTGAAATGCCAAGCACTAATATTTCACAAGAAAATGGCCATGCAATAATCATAGTTAAACGTCAATTTGTGGCTTGCAAATTCAGATAAACAGCAGTGGACTTACATTACCTTTTTCCCTAAATCTTTTTGATAGAAACATAAATGGTACTTATTTAAATATATTATCACTGGTTTGGTGTAAAATAGTTAATATTTTCTGACCGAAATAATAATTTGAAATGTGCCTACCTCCTGCAAATGGACGTATTTGGCCAAGTTCTCCACTTTACTCCGCTGTTTATCGGCGATCTCGTCGACATCCTACAAAAAATGTAAATCATCTCAGACATAATGGTATCAAGAACATTTTAAACAAGTTTCAACTTGGTTTCAAGTAGATCATACCTGTTTAACAATCGACAAGGTAAATCCACAACTTTGTCCAAATTCGGCGCCATTTTGTCATCCCATGTCGCTTGTTAACAATTCAGCCTTGTTACTCTTCCATCCAAGCCATTTCCATTCCACTAACAATAAATTTAATCCTTTATAACAGGAGGACCTAAAAAATCTAAACAAAATACAAGAAATACGCCATTTTATCACCCTGTAAAATGTTGTTTACGAGTCCTTCAAAACATTCCGTACAAATCTCGCGTGGTTTAGCAACAGGACGTGACAGGGGGGTAGAGACTGGAAAAATGAAAGGAAAGCCCACACAGTATGGTAAAACCAACAATCAACATTTAATTTGTATGACTTTTTCATATTAATAAATAATAATATGTATATATTTGTCGCTACAAGAAATAAAACAAACATTTGTATGATTGTATTTAGCTTTTAGTCTATTTCACGCAGCCTTCTATCTTCGTGAAATAATTCACCCCCTCCTGTCACGTCCCTGTTACTTTGTCACGCGATATTTGTGCGGAATGTTTTGAAAGACTCGTGAGCAAAATTTTACATGGTGATAAAATGGCGTATTTTTTATATTTTGTTTAGATTTTTTAGTTTCCTCCTGTTATAAAGGGTTAAATTTATTATTAGTGGAATGGAAATGGCTTGGATGGAAGAGTAACAAGGCTGAATTGTTAACAAGCGACATGGGATGACAAAATGGCGCCGAATTTGGACAAAGTTGTGGATTTACCTTGTCGATGGTTAAACAGGTATGATCTACTTGAAACCAAGTTGAAACTTGTTTAAAATGTTCTTGATACCATTATGTTTGAGATGATTTACATTTTTTGTAGGATGTCGACGAGATCGCCGATAAACAGCGGAGTAAAGTGGAGAACTTGGCCAAATACGTCCATTTGCAGGAGGTAGGCACATTTCAAATTATTATTTCGATCAGAAAATATTAACTATTTTACACCAAACCAGTGATAATATATTTAAATAAGTACCATTTATGTTTCTATCAAAACGATTTAGGGAAAAAGGTAATGTAAGTCCACTGCTGTTTATCTGAATTTGCAAGCCACAAATTGACGTTTAATTATGATTATTGCATGGCCATTTTCTTGTAAAATATTAGTGCTTGGCATTTCACACTTACCAATGATCACCCCCAAAGTACCATCTCTGAACCATATAAGCACCTCAGAATAGCCAAAGTTTTTATGGTTTGGTAGATAGCAGTATGGCGAAAGCGTCGTTTTTGGGTGTGGTCAGTTTCGGACGTTTCGCCCCGGATTGGGGTTCGGGCAGCGTTACCATGTTGACCGTCATGGTCAACTTACCCTAAAACAGTTGAGATTATCTGTCCTAAATGAAATGCATACAAACTCATATACAGGTCCTAGACTGCAAATGGCAGACGCCAAGGCGATGTCGACGTTCGACGTTAAATTAAAACAACTTGTGATGACGTGCAAGCGAACTGATTCGGTGCTCGATTCTAATAAAGATACTGCGATTAAACGACAACTGGAAGCTTTAAAAGCGTTAACAAACGAGGTAGAAACATCGAGACGAGGCGTAGAAGCGTTGAAAATCGAGTAAAAAGTGAACGAGGACGAAGTCGCTAAGTGGAATTCTCAAGTAGAGACTGAGCTAGAGAAAGCAGACGACGATGTGAAGCGCTTAGAGAAATGGCAGGACGATTGCAAACTGGAAAAGGAGAGAAATGCTTTCGAAGAGAAATTGAAATACGAAGTAAAACTACATGAAACTACACTAAAACTCGAGTCCGAACATCAAGCGAAGTTGGAAAGTGGAAGTTCGTCGAAGGAAATTTATGCCAAGCAAGTGGAAGCGAAACTACCAAAACTCGTAATATCAAAATTTGACGGAAATTACATGGATTGGCAACGGTTTTGGGATCAATTCACCGAATCGATTGAAAAATCTGGGTTAGCGTCGAGAACGAGAGAGAATGTACCTCACCAATCGAACTGACAAATCTCGAGGGTGCATCTACTAATAATAATAATAATAAAACTTTATTTAATGAGGGATTACATTGATTACTTAATATAGTATTCTTCCCAATCGCCCTCGATATCTAATAGTAATATATAAAAAGAAACTCCTATTGAGAGTAACATTGACAATGAGTAATCTGCTTACAATCGATGCAGCGGAATTTATTAACGTGATCTACTTCATAATTCAATTGAATACAGTAGGTTTTGAGCTTCTTTTTATAGGAATAAATTGAGTGATTTTCAATATCTTTTAATTCGGAAGGTAAAGAATTAAATAAACTTGGACCACTGAAGGAAATTTTGGATTTTGCTTGCGTGGTCTTAACTGATGGAACTTTTAAGTCTGTAATAGACGATCTAGTTGGAATTGGATGAGAGTCGCGAACAAAGACAAACAATTTACGAAGATCCGGCGGCCAAGATGTTTTTAAAGTATTGAATACCAATAATATTTTTCTCATTTTGATCAAATTAAAAATAGGTATCCAGTTGAGTTTACGGAAAAGCACAATTGAAGGCACTTCAGTTGACTGCTCAAGAATTAGTCTCGCTGCACGCTTCTGTAGTTTTAGTAGGCACGTAATTAGATCGTTATTAGCATTGCCCCAGACTGTGCTACAATATAGCAAGTGTGGGTAGATTAGTGCGTAATATAATTGAATACGGGATTGAAAGGTGAGATAACTACGTATACGTTTGAGCAGGTAAAGTCTAGAATTGATTATATTGTAGATGGTATTAATTTGCCTATCCCATTTCAGATGTTGGTCTAATGTAACTCCAAGTAAAATGGCGGATGTAATCTCCTGTTAACATTATTGTTATTGACTTCAATGGTTACTGGACTAACATCAGGGAATTTGGATTGGGAATATATTTTCATTATTTTTGTCTTGCCATGATTAAGAGACATTTTGTTATGGTTAGTCCAACGGGACACTGAGGTCATATCTGACTTTAGAGAGACACTAAGTTCGTGAAGGTCCGATCCGGAGGATATTAGTGTAGAGTCATCGGCAAATAAAAAAGGCTTAGAACTTCCAACGTAACTGGGTAAATCGTTAATAAAGATAAGAAAGTGAATTGGTCGTAGTATAGATCCTTGAGGCACACCAGACTTTATCAGAGCTGGGTTGGATAGGAATGATGCAATTTGTACTACTTGGTAACGATCATTTAGATACGATTTAAACCATTTTAAAGCTATTGGGGTAATGCCATATTGTTCTAATTCTGCAGTAGCAATCTATGATCGACCAGGTCAAACGCTTTGGAGAGGTCAATTAGAGCTATACCATTAATTAAACCTTTCTCAATGTTATCGAGAAGGTGTTCACAGATCAATATTAGAGTAGATTCACAAGAGTGATGGGCTCGAAAACCATGCTGGCAACTTGATAGAATATCATTTTCTGTGAGGAATTTTACATATGAGTTGGCAACATGTCGTTCGAGGAGATTAGATAGAATCGGTAATATAGAAATGGGCCTGTAATTGTTTCTCTCAGTACGTGTTTCAGCTTTATAGATTGGAATCAGTCTAGCTTTCTTCTACTGCGACAGTAGTGAGCATAAAGCTGTTGAATGCACTAAAGTTACTGCCGTAGCTGAAACGGAAACAGATTCTGGCGAAGAAGCGATTGTGTTTCAACTGTGCGGTTGGGACTCATCGGGCCGCACAATGCCAAAGCAAAACATCATGCCAAACTTGTCATAGGAGACATCATACATCAATATGTGACAAAACTCAACCGGAAGAGATCAAGAAAGTGGTATTAACACCAAGTGGAGTGGGGGAAGGAGTTTTTCCAGTGGTTTTGCTTAAAGTGGACGGAATCATAACGAGAGCACTGATCGATACAGGAGCCGGCAGCTCTTATATCTCAGCTATATTTCCACAGGGAAAAGCGGGGTTGATGAATAGAATTGAATGCCTAATTAAAAATGCAAGGTATCTAACTCCATAGTGACCCCTTTTGGAGGTCACTATGGAGTTAGATACCTTGAATTTTTAACCAAACTCAAACCCCACATCTCCTTTTCGACTCGAAAACGCTGCACGTCTTGTATCGAGATGTTAATGGGCTCGGTCACCTTACGAGAATTTGACAGTAATATCTGCTTTTGCTACACCACGCGAAATGATTATACGTTGCTCAAAACAAAAAGCCGTTTAATGCGTTGTTAACCTTATTTCGTCCCACAACCTCCCAAGGACAATAGTCTTGGTCGTCTTTCATTGAAATTCAACCTCGGTGCTCACGCCTCGTCTGGAATTTCAAGAAAGACCTTACATTTGTTTTTATCCTGCAAATGGTAACCTGTTGAGAACCCTTGGAATCAATGCTTCGACAAACCGTTCTTCGGAGACTTCTCGGTTGATGAGGAACTGTGTCAGTCTTGATGTGTGTTTGGGGACAATACAAAGTATTCCACAGAATCCTTACAAACATACTAAGTTAGTTGAACCGAAACGGAGGCTCTTAGTCAGAGAAATCCTCGGGGCCTACGGCCCCCGGCGGAGCGTTCCCTAAGATGGTCCGTTTTCGGTACGGAAGCTTCCTAAAAATTTTCTCGAACATTTGCTGATTGTTGGTAAAATAGAATTGGGCGGCGATTATCTGCAGATTTCTAGACCCAATTTTGAAGAGGATAATTTTGCTGGTTCCATTCCTTGGAATGTACAGTAGTCATGTCACTGTTTATACGAAGGTCCAAAACGATAAAATTTTAAAAGAAAACGCCTCAGCATCCATACCCCTATCACCTTATCAGGTCTATTTTACAGCAGGCCTGACACAAAACTTAACCTTTCCTTTCCGCCCACAGCAAAGTTTATATTTAGTATCCAATCAAAATGTCGCAAGAAATTTCTCAACAAATTTTACGGGACGCTTACATTTGCAGATTAAGTGTAAATGAGCTTTACACCTTGGTTATTTATCAACAAACTGAGTATCTATAAAGTATATACGTATATGTAACTAACGTCGTCGATAGTGCAAATGAGGCGATTTAAATAAGCTACATTTGCAAACAATTTCGCTAATTTGAGATTATTTTCTAATTTTACTGCAGTTTTATACCAAAACCAGCCGTTTAGTTGGCCGGCTATAATTTAATTGTGATCATTACAAAATATGTCAACAACAATAGTTACGCAGTGGTTAGACAGCAGTCGGGAACTACACAGCAGTTGGTGGCAGCAAAGAGTCGGCTAGCAAAGAGAAATTTGTCGGTTCCACGTCTGGAACTGGTCGGGGCTCACATGGCGACAAATCTTCTAGTGAATGTTCGTGACGCCCTACCAAAAGAACCGCAACCGTTGATGTTCGCATGGCTTGACAGCACAGTGGCTCTGCACTGGATAGTTGGTAATGGGGCCTACAAGCAATTCGTCGCCAATCGTGTTGCGAAGATCCAGGCTCACCCATCAATTCAGTGGCGACTGTAATGTAGTCACGTCATGTCACGTGATGTAATATATATTTAGGTATCAGAAAGAGACCACGTGTAAGAAAATAGGGTTTTGATATTGAAAGCAATAAAAGTACATTTTTATACTGTACAACTTGTACTAAAGAGATACATTATATTTGGCGACGAGTTTATTTTAATGCTGAACCCAAACGAAGAAGAAGTGAACACAGAAGAAATCTCGATGGCCACAACTTTGGATTTAAAACCACCACCTCCGTTTGATGCAGAGGGTGATAATTCCTCGCTAGCCCAACGCTGGAAAGAATGGCGAAAGCGGTTTAATATGTATACAGTAGCTGCCAACATCAAGGATGATGCACAGAAACGCGCAGTGTTATTGTATGTAGCTGGCCCGTCGGTTCATAAAATATTCAAAACACTACAAGACAACCGGGACAGATTTCAAAACAGCTCTAGAGAAGCTCGACGAATATTTTCAGCCACAAAAGAACGTAATATATGAACGCTATGTGTTTAAACAGACACATCCAACGCCTGGAGAATCGGTAGACAGCTACATAACTCGTCTACGTACACTAGCCGAAACGTGTGAATTCGAAAGCGCCGAGAATGAAATACGCGATCAGTTTGTTATGACATGCTCGTCTCATGGATTTCGTACGAAGCTTTTACGCGAGACAGATCTGACATTGGCTAAGCTTATTACCATGGCGCGAGCGAAGGAATTAGCAGAAAAACAAGCGTCGAATATCTCGGGACACAATAACTCTCGGAACAATGTTAATCGTGTAAAAGACGAGGGAAATGACGAAGCTAAAGACAAGGTAAGACATGCTAAATATGTACTAAAACCACACAAACAAAATCAATGCCGAAATTGTGGAAATGAATTTAAACAAGGACATAAAGATGTCTGTCCTGCGAAGGGCAAAACCTGTAGAGCTTGTGAAAAGCTCAATCATTTCGCTAGAGTTTGTCGAAGTCAAAAAAATCCCCCAAAAGATAGTAAGAAAGATTCGAGAGAGTCTGTTAGAGTTGCACAACAACAAACCCAAAAACAAAGCCCTCCTAATTCGTCCGACGATGAGTATACTTTTGCTGTTTCATCATCAAAAATAACTAACATTCAAATACAGATCAATGGGACCCCTATTGCTGTGACTATCGATTCAGGAGCGACGACAAATATTCTTGATAGTGAAGCATTCGCTTGTATTAGGAAAAGAAATAAACATGTACAATTAGAGCCAACACAAACAAATATATATGCATATAATGCCGTTCAGCCCTTGCCATTGCTCGGAAAGTGTCGTTTAGCGGTTGAATCGAATGGAAAGCGTACAATATCGACGTTTTATGTTGTCAACGGCAAAGCGGGATCACTTCTCGGTAATGAAACAGCCGCAGAGTTAGGCATTTTAAAAATAAAAGTTAACGAAGTCTCTAAATTTCATAGCATGAAAACAACCGGAAGTCGAGGTAGGAATGAAATCAACACCGGAAGCCACTCAAACGGAAGTGACGCGAACAGTCAAAGTGACTCCGGAAATCGAGAAATAAGGGACAGAAATAGCATGAAAAACATTGACATTAATACACAAAAAATTTTAGATAAATTTCCAGAACTCTCTGACGGAATAGGGTGTTTGCAAAATTATGAACAGTCATTGCATGTTGATCGTACAGTTACCCCTATTGCACAACGCCCTCGGAGAGTCCCTTTCCATTTACGAAAGCAAGTTTCAGATAAACTAGAAGAATTACAAAGTCTCGATATTATTGAACCTGCCGAAGGACCTACTTCATGGGTATCACCCATAGTAGCTGCTCCCAAACCACACAATTCAGATGAAATCAGATTATGCGGAGATTACCGTAGATCAAATCAGGCATTGCTAAGGGAGAGACATCCAATCCCAACAGTTGAGAGTTAATGGAAGAAATATCTGGTGCTGTCGTGTTTTCTAAGCTAGACCTCAAAGCAGGATACCATCAGATAGTCCTAGAAGAGAACTCGCGTAACATTACCACTTTTTGCACACACAAGGGGTTGTTTCGGTATAAACGCCTGCCATTTGGTCTGTCATGTGCTTCAGAAGTATTCCAAAATGCAATACAGCAAGCGCTCCAAGGTCTACACGGGGTACGAAATATCGCAGAAGATATTATTGTATGGGGTAAAACCCAAACCCAGCATGACAAGAATTTAGAAGCACTGTTACAGCGATTAGTTGTCAAGAAACTTACATTAAACCTGGAGAAATGCAAGTTTAATCAACCGTCACTTTGGTTCTATGGCTACATTCTGTCAAAGGACGGACTGTCAGCAGATCCAAAGAAAGTCGAGGCAATTAAAATTTTCAAAACACCAGCAGATGTCAGCCAATTACGCAGTTTCTTAGGTCTGGCCAATTACTGTTCACGATTTATTAAGGACTTCTCCACTCTAACAGCCCCTCTACGTGAATTAACAACCAAATCGTGCAAATGGTCTTGGTCAACTATGCATGAGAAAGCTTTCACCAAAGTTAAAAATGCTATTGCTTCGGACTGTACGATGGCATTTTATGATCCAAATCGACCTACAAAATTAACAGTGGATGCAAGTCCTGTCGGACTTGGTGCAGTATTAGCCCAAACACAAGAAAATGGGCAAGATCGCTGCATAGCGTATGCTAGTCGTTCCCTAACGCCTGTGGAAGCTCGCTACTCGCAGACCGAAAAAGAAGCATTGGCTGCAGTGTGGGGTTGTGAACGTTTTCATCTTTACCTTGTTGGAACACAATTTGACCTCATCACTGACCACAACCCATTGGAAGTCATTTACAGCCCAAAGTCCAAACCGCCACTCCGGATAGAACGTTGGTTACTACGATTGCAACAATACAAGTTTAATATCAAGTATCGACCAGGTAGCAGAAACCCAGCTGACGTGTTGTCTCGACAACCTTTATTCACCAACTACAAGTCAAGTACCATAGCGGAGAAATATGTCAATTTCATCCAAAGTCACTCGGTTCCTAAATCTCTCACGCTCGATGAGATTCGTATCGCAACGTTAAATGATCCTGAACTGCAGAGAGTAACTAGCGCAGTAAAGGAAGATCGATGGAACAAAACAGATAGTTGTTTAAACCCATATCGTAATCAGCACGAACAGTTGACAGTTTCGCAATGTGGAGTTATACTACGAAATTCACAGATCGTTAT